TATTACAGAGTTGCTAATGACATTGTTGACAACCCTCAAGGGTAAATTCATGAATCTATCTTACCTATATGAGTTACGGGGAAATTATTCTTGTGCAAACGCTCGAAAATACCAGACTTGCTGTTACTAAATTAATAAAATATAGACTACTAGTTTTCGCCCGCGGCTCTATCCGCGTGGAATTAGAAGAAAAACAAAAGAGAGTAGCCTATGTGTTCTTCCAGACTATTATGTATGTACATCTCTATAAAATTTCAATGAAATCTGTTCGGCCGTTAAGGCTAAAAACTCTAACGAACATCATCATATTAGTACGAAATGCGATGTTACTCAGAGATAGTGTAGCTTTTTAATGGTGAAAAAAAAATTGAAATCAGTTTTTGAGTTATTTCAATACATTCGAAAATACACATATTTCCTCTTTATATTATTAGTATAGATAGAAATTAAAATCATTTTTATTACAACATTCAAAGAATTTATTCAAACACTATTTGCACTCGACTTATCAAGCTACGTTTTTCACCTGTGTCAAATTTTATCGAGATCTGTGAAGCCGTTTTGGAGATAATCTAATAACAAACAAATCGACATCTAAACTTTCACATTTATATGAAAATACACCTTTTTACTACGAATTTTGTTGTTAAAACCTACGTTAGTAATTTCAAGGTATGTGGGCAACCATAACACACATGTTACAAGTAAATTGCATCTCTAAACCATTATTCACGGACTTACTTCCCCTATTTTATTACGGGTTGTACATCAATGCCTCAATGTAATACAATTGATTCCTGCATGCTTTGATATTTTTAGGGCTGTCAAAAATGCTAATTCTAAAATTTAAAAAAAAAAAATTCGACGGATATCATAGATTTTTTGTTTAAGGTACTTTAAGTAGGAACGTTGGGATTTAACACTTTTTATGTTTTTGTATGTCATTCTTTTAAATGAATTTATTATTTTAGATTTGTCTACCAAGTTACATTAATTTTAACGGTGCTTGTGTGTATTTTTTATTAAATTATTATTATTTAAATTTCTATTTTGAAAACTTTGGGAACCTTCGAAATTGCTGAAAAAACGTGTGTAACTAAATAAATTCCATTGTACCGTTCCAGATCGTGTCCTTTGGGTGTTTTCAATCAGGAACCCTTCGATTCGCTTAATACAATACGAGTGCCTTACATTCCTATCTACCTGATACTAGGGTTGGCAAAACTAATTTCCGGAAATTAATGAGATTGAAATAAATCATAAAATAACATTTAAATGTTTATATTTTTTAACACTGTTTAGTTTATTTTATAACAATAGATGGAGCTTATTACAATAAAAGGACACGAGGTGGTACTCATCTTGACAATTGGTATAGTACCTTTCAGAGAAAGTACGGGTGAAAAAAAATTGTTCACTATGCCTAATCTATGTATGTCTTAAATGTCTTTGCCTGGAACAGGTTTTCTCAGGTTTTTTATATTCTTTTCTGGTTGCAAGCTTAATCACTAATACCTAACTTTGATTTTTAAAGCGAGATAGCAATATGTGTACTTTTACTTTGGCAGTGGAAAATCACAATAAACGCAAAGGAAAATTAATTCCTTCCCAGTTTGTAACCTGACACTTATCCTCGAGCACAAACTTTGTAATTTAACTTAAGTACAATTTGTAACACATACGTAACTTGAATCACAACTTGTGTACACAGTCGCTTAAGTAAACACACTCGTGACAAAACTGAGTGGCAGAACGAATTACTAATTACAACCTATTTCTGTATAATTGTTTAAAGGGATTTTGTTTGTCGCATCTTTAAGGATTATCCTTGAGAAACATAGATAAATAAATTATCTTTAGTTTAAGAATTAAGGAAATTGTTGATATGAGAGAATGTTTTGTAATTATTCTACACTATCTTACGCTCGCGACTCCGTGTGTGAAATTAAAAACAACATATGAGTAGCCTTTATGTTCTTCCAGACTATCTTCTTCTGTGCCAAATTTCATTAAGATCCGTTCAACCGTTTAGGCTACAAACTTTAAACAATCACTTTATCCATCAATCTAAACTTTCGCATTTATAATAGTTGAATTATTGTACAGTCAGCTGCATACATATTTATATATTTATATAACTTGTTTATGCTTTCAGTTTCAAAAATATATATGGTTGTCTTCATCAATAGTATGTATTCAAGTTTGGAAGCGTACGAACAGATAAGTGCAAACATATTATTAAAACCGAAGGTGTATACAAATTTCTAGACCTTTCGTGATTTGTAAATATATCTATTAAATACCCTTGCTTCTACTGTCCCACTGGGTTGCCTGGAAGAAATCGCTCTTAGCAATAAGGCCCTTACGCAAATCTAATATTAGTTATTTAACTTAAGATTTGTTGTATATGTGCAAAAGTATTAAATAAATAAATATTTTTGCAGGTAACTGTACATCTATATAGTTGCAAAATTATCTCAATATAACCTTAAAACAATTATTTAAACATAACCTTTAGCATTATAAAGCTAACTTCAGTCTAAGATTTCACAGTCAACTACCATAGATGTATGTACATTTGCGTCGATATCCTTTTTGTGAAACTCCATCGATTCGCCCCCGCCGTACCTAATACCTCTTCATCTCACTTAACATAATTCAAGTACCTTGCATTCTTACAAAACTCGTTTAGGGTTGCAACGATTGCTAGTGTTGTACCATTTTGAATACGTAATAATTTAGTTCGAAAACAAGATTAGTAAGGTATTTTATTTCGTTTCATTATTAAAAAGACTTGTAACTTTAAAGTTTACGCCGTTTTTTAAGTAAGAAATTGTTTGATTTTATTCCAATGCAAATTGCCGTTATTATTGAAAGCTTTAATTTTATTAAAACTAATAAAATAATATATTCTATAGTTCTATCCATCAAAACATTTAATATTTTTATTATTGTTTTGTCAGACACATTTAAGATTACATTTTCGTACCGAAAGAAAATTTATTCTTTGTAGTAAAATTTATAAACAGTGACAACCCTAAGCTTTAAAGCGTGGCAATAGAAAAGCCGCGGCAACTCTACTTTTCGTAGAGGCCTCTAGAGGCCGCTGCAATAGTTCCGTGTCTACGAACTTACAAGTTTAGGGGTATCATACAATCGTAATGGTATAACAATATATAATGGAAATGGTGTCATAAACTTTTATTGTTATAGTTTGTAATGAATAGAATATTTTGTACGTTGCAAGTAGTTTAATTTTCATTAATTGTTTAAAACTACGTCTACGCTATAATGCCACGCGACGTAGTTTTGATAACTACTGGATACCTCTTTATTTTGGTGTTTATATATACTATGATTATGGACAGCAAAGATTTGTATTTTTGAATTTTTAAATGTATTGATTGATTGAACGA